GGTGTTTGGCCTCGCACCGCGGTCATTTCTGTCCTATTGTGCCCTCGTACTTTTACTCCCTCATTATCCCTGTATATTCAATGAATTCCAGAAAATTACTGGTTACTAGCTGAAGTATAAATACATTGTGATCAGTAAGGACTCATCAGCATAATGATATTAGTTTGCCAAGGTTCATCTGCTGCTGAGTACAAGTCGCCAAAATTTTCCTAACTATTCGAAAGTGCTTTGGATTGACTGTATTGTTCAGTTTTCAATAAAGCGCAAATATTTTGTAAGTTATTAACTAAAACATTTATTTAATGGCATGTCGGCTATAAAAAGTTGAATATGTACAACGTATATAGTATTTACTTTGTCATTTACTTGTAAGTAAATTCGGCTCAATTTTACTTTTCCCTGTGGCACGACATACATATAAATCCATTTAATTATTCACTGATGTTATTCGTGCTGTTCAGGTTTTTCCATACAAGCCAGTTACTCGTTGAACAGCTTTATTCAAACGAGTTAAAACTCGAAGAATATTGGTGTTATTTTCCCTTGATATGCTGAAAAAAGCATCAATTGATATGTTTTCAATAATTATGGGATTGCTTTAAGACGTTCAATAATAATTCGTGACTTCGATGTTTATGTGAAAAATGCGTTTTAGAAATATTTATCAGCACAGACTAAAAATTTGTAACAACCGGTAAATATCGGTACCACCATGTTCAGAATAGTCATATGAAATGAAGTAGAAAATTCAACTAGTTTAAACTAATTTTTATTTATATTTGATTATTGATAAATATGTATTAATATTCTAGACTTAGTGAAGTTTTCACTTAAAGGAAAAATGTCCAGTTCGTATAGAACAAATAATTTAAAAAAGGGAATCTGTATATATTTTGAAGCGTATAATTCAAATTTTCTGTTTCGATTGCGTGACTTTTACTAATTCAGTCTTTTTCGCTGACTTTGCTAGAATACTATTACATTTTGATATACATTGTGTTGATAGATATTTATCATGTTAAACTTGAATTAATTAATTTGAGAACCATTTTGTCAAAAAGTTGAAATGTTTTGAAAGGAAATCAATTTATTAATAGAGCTAAATAAAAACATTGTCTGAGTTCTCTCGATTGCCCGGAAAAGTGTAATTCTGATCATTTTCGCTACGTAATTACAACTTCTAGATATTTTCTAATGTGAACATTTATCTTCAATAAACATAAGTGAAAATGTGTTATTTTAATCTGATTTTACGCAAAAGACATGTTTTTTAATTCAAGTTTATGATCCGAAAAACAATTAGCCCAGTTGTACCATGGAGGCTTGAGCTTAGGTTCCACTGAACTTATCCTGAACCTGAACTCGGACTGAACTTTGCTGTTCAAGTTCAACGGGAATTCAAGACACGGTTAAGTAAAAAATTTGGGTTGTACGAAATTTGTGCAATGTGAACCCATTTGGTTTGTATCGTGCAATAACACCTGGCTGCTAAATTCAGTTTGAGTGCAGGCTCAGTTGGAATTCAGTTGAAGCCAAGTTTAAACTTAGATTGTAAAACCAAACCTATGGGATGCAATTTTCGCTATCAACAAATACATAAGATAAAAATATTTTAGATATCTGTTGATGTCACAAATTTTATAACATATATAGTGTTTCATAAGAAACTACAGTCAAATTTACACATAAGTAGAATATGTAAGTACAAACAAAGAGTATCTAATGCAGTAGATAAGCTAAAAAGAGCAAAGAATCGAGGAAAAAGCTGGCTACTGTTTGAAAAAAGATAATCGAAAACTTAGAGAGATTTGCCTCTTAAACATCTAACTGAGTGTCTCAATATCCCATGGTCATTAAAGTTGTATATCTTTTCCATTTGCAATTTTTTTTCCTTAACCAACCTGAAGTCCATTTGTCCTAAAGTTTTTAAATATTTTAAGGTCCTGTTGGACATTTTCACAAAAGTCTTCAAATGTCTCGTTTCTCTATTCGGTTCACTTACCAGATGATTGTTCCTGATTTTTGCATAATGTACTTAAGGGGTATACTTGCATCTCGTGGCAAAAAGACGTTCAGTTGGTATCGTTTAAATATTATCGAACAAATAGAAGCATGCGCCTGATTCAATAATGATATTCCACGCTCCAGTGCGTTGTATTTTGGGGTAGTTTGAATAATTTTGCGGACGGCAAAGGCAAACCTTCCAAATGCGCCTTGCGGTGGAAAAGCGATTTTTGTCACCAACATGAGTTTGACGGATTTGAAAAATTGCAGTAACGGTGAAACCGTACAAGCCAACTATAACAAACTTTCGGATCATGTCCGAAGACTGACTCCTCATGGGATACAGTGCAGCGTTTTTTGCGGAGGACTCAACTGTAAATATGAAAATCCGGAAAATTGGAAACCCGATAGTCTTGCCATTCATGGAATATATTCCCATTGGTAAGATATAATCCGATTTCATTAAAGCTACATCCGTTTCAAGTGTTTGCACGCAAATACCTCAACAGGTAAATCACCACTTCGTGAACTATTATACTTAACAAATAGGTTTGTTCTAAATTTGCTTTTTTAAACAAATATTTATTGCGTGCGGTTGAAATAAATTAAGCGAAATGCTAACTACTATCATGGACATTTATAATTAACATTTTCTTAATCCGGGTTTTAAATTGTCTATTTGGTAGCTGATAAATTAAACACTGATAGGGGACTCGAATTGTTATTGCAATACTCATAAAAAAATTAATGCATTTTAACTACTAGTTGTAAACAGTTTTAAAGTATAATGCATCAATAAACGTATTTTTATAATTAAGTGGCTATTGATGTAATATTTGTTGCGATTTCAATACAATATCAAATTTACATTATAATAGCTGGAAGAGAAATAACTGAATTTTATATGACCATGTTTACCAATTTAACGCACTGAGACAATGGATTGTGGAAGACACAAATCGAAATATCAAATTCGCTCAAATTAAGTTGTTATTCCGACAAATTGAGTCATAAGGCAATAACGCTACAGTATTTGCAAATGTATGGGTAAAAGTAGCAGAACTTTTTGGGAACTATTGGGGAACCTTTACGCAAAATAAATATAATAACATATAAAAAAAATTAAATAAACATTTCAAAAAATTGACTGCAACGTACTAAATCTGAGTAACATAAGTACCAAAATCTGAGAAACTCTTCAATTTACAGCTAAAATAATGTATGATCGATGTTATTCGACAGGGAAAAGAATAATTGCAAACTGCAATCAAATAACAATTTAAGTGTCAAAACGTATCAATTCGAGTTAATCATTTAAAATTGTGTAATTTAAGCCTAAGGTTCTTCACTGCTAGACGCCATCGTTTGAAAGTTTTGTTACGAATGTGCTTCAAACCTTAATGGGAGCCAAACAAAAATATGTTGAACAAGGGTTTGTGAATTTTATGTTAAAATGAATCAAAAGAAAGGAAAAGGCGGTGGAATTGAAGAAAGCAAGCAAAGACGAAACCGTAGTAATACGTGTCTTGACCATGTATTGTAATGCATGAAAAAGTCCATGTACTTAATGAAATTCATGTATATTTAATTTATCAAATGCGCTACAGTCATCAAAGGAACGAGACTTTGTGAATATCGTATGAACATTAGGAGCACAAATACGCTTCACAATACAATAAAGAGATAGAGATGTAAGTCAGGTCTGCTGAAAAATGCTCAAAGATATTTTACCGTAACTCCTAGAAGCACTCAAAACCCGGCAAAGTTGAAAAATCTTGATCATTTAATAAAGAAGAAGTAGAAAAGGAGATATTAAATATATAGATTACCTCGATCTCACTAGAAGCATTTGTTGGAAGAACTTGCCGATGGCACCTGCATTATAACTTTGCGACTTGTCGAGTTTTAGTGGAACAGTTTTGCGGTTTTCCTTGGATTCGTGATTTTTGGACTTGGACATTAATTGCTTTAATTGCCCTTCAATTGTGAAAACTTTTGATCCCGAATCTCATCCATCTTAAACGTGGCCGCAATAAATTTAAATAATTAACTTAAAACCAAACTTACAATAACAAAATGTACTTAGCAAACAAAGTTTCAAAAATATTATACTGACTGTCGAGTGTGATAAGTTTTGTAAATGTGGCAGTTCATACTATTGCATCAAAAATAACATTTAATTAAGAAAAGGCAACTATGTAGTGTTATTTTAATGTAATTAAAATAATTTGTATTCAGTATTCTAAATACAATTCGATGTAATTACACAATTAATGTAATAAATTACCTACACCATATCATTTTGAAGTAGAGAATGCGGACAATTATTTATTTCTATGAATCCCAAAATGTAATAAATGTTAAATTTTAAAATGGTGTAGACACAATATCACTATTTATTGATAAATAATATGAAGTGAATTTTATAGCAAGATTTATTATACTAAAATACATAGTTTTCAGCTAAAAAAATTTGCGACCGTTTCTTGTAACTGGTGAGATATTCCGGATTTTATTCCTTCGTGTAAACGAATTTCCGCCGGACGTTTCACAATCATGAGTGGCTTGCGTCTTCAAACGTGTCTGAAAAACACATCTGGGAAGGCAAGCAGCTTGCAAAACTCCAAGCAAAAATTATGTTGCACAACAGAATAAAGTCGCGAAAACTTGCCAGTTTTTCCATTAGTTTTGTTAGTGATATAATAATTATTTAAATCGATTTTTCCAACCATTCATCCGATATTTCTACCTAGTGAAACCTACCCTTTTGAAAAGCCATGTAATAAATTGAAACTATGATCTGGTCTGCATAATATTATTCAGAAAATTCACAGACTTTCATGTGGAATCTGAATAATAAAGCACATTAAACATGTTGATTGGAATTTTAATAAAGCCATCAATGTTTACTGTTATTTTCATTAATAATTTTTAAGTGTAAAAAGTTGTTTTTCAGGGTTACTGATGATATATTAGCAATGGCCAGGCCAAGCACGATGGTGATAATTAAGAAAAATATCATACAGCAATTCGAAAGGTAATTACGACTATCGTTTTTTGCCACATGTAATGGTTATTGACCGAAGTAATAAATTCCATTTATCAGATTAATAAAATTTGTAAATTCTAACACGTGTAAATTACACAGAATGTTCATTTAATTCAACAAACTTTTGATCACAAGTTACTCCTTATTTGTTGTTATGCTTATCTATCAATATCACTGAATATGTAAAATCGACAGTGATCTGAAATTTTCAGCTTGGGGATTAAATCAATTATAAACCTGCAATGTCCCAAAGAACATTCAAGCTGTGGTCAACCTTTGGAAAATTCAGGGTTTTCGTATGATCCAAGTGTTTTTATGGAACAGAACAGTAAGTTATCAGGTTATAGATTATTGGGAAAACTCGATTAACCTTGTCCCAAATATATTTCCAGGGAATGTCGGCTATTTAATGCGGTCTAAATTAATTATGCGTGAATCATTAACATTGCATAGGCGATCAGATGAAATGCGGAATATTCATTCATTCACATGCGAATAAAAATACATTTCGAAGGAATTTAATTTTTGATGTTAATCTAAAAACCATCACTTTTGTTTCAAAGCAGCTTCAACCTAGACAATTTGCCTATTTGCAAGTTTTGTCAGTAAAGTTAAGTTAATTATAAACATTTACATATTCGAAACCTAAAACAGCAAAAGCTTGAACGAAATAAAACAGTTCATAATGTATTACCATGTGAATATGGTAATACTATGAAATGAAATAATATGCAAAGCATACTATTTCAACAACAGAAAAAAAAACAAATAATAAATAATTACTATATCCCTCGTTATAACTGGATCACCCAATATAGTATGATGTCCTATATTAACACTGCAGTGGTATAAAAATAGGACATCGATTTTTTAATATGAGGGTAATCAACAACACAATAAATATTTGAGAATTGTACTAAAAATAGCACAAATTACAATTTTCAATTAACAGCATAAATTAAACTGGTTTATGACGGAACGATAGGGCTTTCATGGAATATTAATGTGTTTTCTTTTTTAACGGATATGGGGCCTGAGCACAATTTTATATAGAGCACGGGTCATATTCAACTAATTACGTTAATAGTTTCCATGTTAAAAATAACCATTAAGGAAATCTAGCTACTAATATGTATGTATAAAAATATAAATATATAGCAGATAATTACAACTCGCTATATTTAATGTTTTACATATCTGTTTAGAGCATCGATGTATTTTAACGAACTTCGCTACAGATCAACAGTCAAAAAAGACTCGTGCTTTGCATTAAAAAATGAAACTAATTGAAAAATACAGTCAAAATGTGCGTCGTCTTAGGTGTTGACTTCTTCAAAATTTTGATAGATAATTTGCATATTTTGTGCAAATATTACATTGTTAATAGCATTTCAATGTGCAATAAAACAGAAACCGCTTTGTTGGGGTACTGTTTACACAGTAAGCTAGAGTCATTTATGAACGAATGTAGTGTCTCTATTTTTACTTTGCGCTTGAATTTTAGCTTCTGGTAAGGAATTATTATTAATAAACAGATTTTTGTTCAAATTTATTACCCTTATTTTCACCGTAATGTAAAAGCAACCTGTTAACATTTTACTAAAACGTAAGTTAAAAAATCGAAAAATCAACCCTTATTAATTGTTTGCCAACAATAGACAGATATTAGGGTAAAAACAAAGCAATGGAAACACATGTCGCGTTAGCGTAAAAAATCAATAGAAGTCCAGTTTTGAATTCTAAGGGAATCTTTTTAACGGTTTTTACTTATTTATTATTCCCATATTGAGCAGTGAGGATTCAGATATTGGTAAACTAAAGTATGCAATGGAAAATTAGGGATTTTTCATACCATACATTCAATATCATTGTTGCAGTGGCTTAAGCTCTGATGAGTTCTTGCCAAAACTTAACATGTTGATATTTTTTACATTACGCTTAAATTATTTTAGAGCCATTACTATGCAACTCGGGGTTTATTAATGAATACTGGCAAAAAGTAAACGTAAAATCAAATGCAAACGTTGTTTATTCTTTGAAACCAACAATTCTAAACTTTGAAGCTATAAACCGTAACATCAGTAGAAAGGAAAATAGAAGAAAATATAGAATGGCATAGCATACCTGCGCTCTCATTTGACTCATGCATTCACTCAACGTGAATTGGTTCTATATGAACTTCTTCTGGGTCAGATAGTGCTTCGTTCCAAAACCTCGTGTTCAGCTCTCAAAAAATTAAGTTTTCATTTTGAGCTTTTAAGAACGTGTTAGCTGAGTTTAACTCAGGGGGAGAGTCGGTTGTTTTTTGCAAAAAAATTTTCCTGTGTCGCATTTAATTAATTGGTGAAAAAAACGTCACATTTTGCAAACTATTGAGTCGTAACTAAATTACATAGACATATAAATAACTATTATCCGGTACCTTTTCGGATAGATTCCTAAGCATCGTTAGTGCCCCTCGTGGTGTTCAGTATTCCCGTATCGTAGGTTTTCTTGCAAACGACACGAAGCACCAGAAACAGTCCGAAAAGGGACGAAAATGTAATAATTTGGATGGTTCAGTTGCAGAGTTTATAAAATGCATTCGACAGTCATTTCTTTTGTAAAAGACCAACCGATTTTCTCCCTGGGAGGCCCCTGAAACTGTTTCATCAATTCTTAATGGTCCGGCAGATGAATAAATATTATACACCGTAATGATTTAATTTAAACAAATGAAAAAAAAAAAACGTTTAACCCTTTATATGAAAACGAAGCACATGCGGACATTTATCCATATTTTGCTGAATGGAACCTCCCTTAGGATTTTGTAACTTTAACCCTGGAACACCATAATAGAAACGGTGAATTATTTCCTAAACTAAGATACTTAGGATAAAACAAATAATGCAAAAATTGTAAGGTTATTCCCACTCTATTTAAGTAAAGAAAAATTTTGTATACAGGATCAGTCAAAAAGTCACAGCAACACAATGTTACCTTTTCTGAAATGGAAAACCCCGTATTTTATTCAATAATTGGATTCTTCTCCCAGTTGCAAACAAAAATCGTATAACACATTAGATGTTTAAATTTAACTATTTTGGAGATATCGAGTTCTCAAAATTAGGTTTTAATGTAATTCGCCAAATTATCAAATCTGTTATAAAAACTCTGTTCATCAAGACATCTGAGAAAGTTTAGGTCACTATAATGCCCTCATTATTTTGTTCTAAACAGTTAATCTCTGATTGACACGAATGAAAAAAAAATGTTTTACCAATGTAGATTATTGTGAATTATGTGAGGTTTAAAATGGCACGTTTATGTGAAACTGAGCGTATTAAAATATTCATGATCATAGAATATGGGATTTCGGATGCAAAGTTTGAACATATCTCCGTGAAACATTTCCTGAGAAATCGATTGGTCGCAGAGGACAATTGAATGGCCAGCTCGGTCTCCCGATTTGGCCCCACTTGACTTTTTTTTGTAGGGTCATATTAAAAATGCCATTTACAAAAATAGGTTACAAAATATTGAAGAATTGCAAGATAGAAAAGTGGCGAAATTGCCGGCATTCCTCGGAAAATACTTAGTTCAGCGACTTCATTACTGTCAAGAGGTAAACGGCGAAGATTTTGATTCCTTTTTGAAATTGAATTTCAATTTAATCCTGGGAATCATTAAAATTATCTCCTTTATAAATTGTGTCTATATTTCTTTAACCAATCCTGTATGCGCACAATTTAAAATGCGAGCGTATACTTGCAAATAAACTATTTCAAGTAACAAATAGCAATGAGGAGTTGAAGACACCAATTATTTTCATTACCAAATTATTTGTATATACAAGTTATAGTATCATTTTAGCTAAAAATTAATTGAGTTTACATATAATTTTACAAATTTTAAGGAAAAGTATTAATTTGTGGTTATATGGCCAATGTATTAATTTATTTAATTTTCAGTATTTTATTATAATTTTACATGGAAAGATTATGGAGACGCCACATTGGAAGGTTTACTTAACATGGTCAAAGTTATAGCATTTGCTCTAACCGAGGGGCGTGTTGCTATTCATTGCCATGCAGGTAAAAATATATTTAAGCAATCATTAACTGAACGTAAATCTACACATACATTCAATATAATTAACCATAACTCTTTTTTAATTTTCAAGGAACTTTGCAATCATTTAAGCAATTCGTAAACCGCCTAGATAACTTTGCATTTTGTAATATGACTTTTTCCAGGCTTAGGTAGAACAGGGGTTTTGATTGCATGTTACCTAGTGTTTTCCTTAAGAGTGACCGCTAACGATGCCATAAGATATGTGAGGCTGAAGCGTCCCGGTTCCGTTCAAACCAGAGGACAAATTTTATGTGTTAGGCACTTTGCACAATTTATTCTTCCACAAACTATAACTTTTTACTTAAAGTAAGCCATAACTTTCCTTCCATATAAATATTATAGGCTTCGTCGTTTTGATATATCTGTATGTCAGAAAATACTTTAATTCCAGAGAGAATGTCTCAAAAGACAAATATATGAATGAATTTACGCTAAATCGATATCTAAAACGACAAAGGGTAGTTCTACATGGGTACGAAGAAAGAAACTTTAAATATCTTCCGAAAATTGTGCATGTTCTTTGCGAAAGGATTTTGAAACTGTGCGGATGTAACGATGATGATGAAAATCAGCTCAATGTATCATTCACGACTGATTTTTTAACTGAGAAATTATATGGAGAAATCAGAAGGCACGAAAGCAGTTACAGTATATCGAGCATTATTAGCTTAAATCCAGAAAGTAACTATGAGGTAAGTGGCTTTATTCACAATTAAATTCCATTTATATTTTTTTAGGCATATACCTAAACCCTCCTGGGGAGTCTTCTCGAGGATGCAGCCCAAACCCATCCGAAAATGGTGATAGCAGCGATAATTTCTCTGAAATAAGCACTCTGGATGGTGATGAACTAAGCGAAGATCTTTTATTCGAAAATAGGTGTTTTCAAGAACTGGAAACTCAAAAAAATTTCTCCCAAGATCACCCACAAGACGACCTAATAGTTCAAGATACTGAAGATGTTCTTTCAGCTCTCTTAACAGATTTTCAAACCCTAAATGCTGATACCAGACAAATGGTTCGCCAGTATATGGACGAAATCAACTCTTCCAAAGTAGGATGGCTGAAACTATCAGTCGAAAGCAATTTAAATATTCTAGTGAGTCTGCTTTTCGAATGGTTTGAAGGACTTAAAACTCCAATTTTGCAAGTTAAGAACTTTGAGGACATTGTGATTTTATTTAAGCAGCCCGATGAATGTTTTCGGAAATTTGGAATGGTGACCATCCGGAAATGCCGTTTCCTTTGTATCGTTTTATAAATCAAAGATATTTTAGGAAGAAGCTTATTTAATAGAATATTTTCTGAAATTCATATCAAAGCTGGTCACAGGGCGGCAAGAATATATAGACGACGTGCTGAAACGATTCTTAGCCACGCTATCCAAGCACACTGTGAAAATTAATTCTGCTCCCATTCCATCAGGCGAGTATTTAGTAAAATGTATAATTTAAATAATTTCATATTATTGATTTTTACTAGGCAAAGGATTTAAGCGAATTGGAGACGGAACTTTGTCTTGTAGCGTAGAATTCTTCAAGTCAATGCTAGACATAGTCGGAAACCATCACGCGCAAAAAATGAGGTCTTTCTCCATAAGCGAGAAAATGTACGAAAATAACTCTGAAGAAATAATTGCCTTCCAATAAATACCAAAAATATGTTTTCTTCATACTTCTTATATTTTCATGATTAATAAAGGAGTTAATTTTGTTATCAATTTTCTTTTCGTCCAATACGTTCATAGAAACGTGTAATGTAATAAATCAACGACTAGACTATCTAAAGTTTCTAGGAACAACATACTTTTTCAAAATCACAAAAACTACGTTAACGAATACTGGCATTACTAAGGATTATCTGAATTATAGATTAAATTGACATTACGCATTAAAAGTCCAACGCAAATATTTACAAATTTTATTAACCTATAAAAAAGTAAAAAACAACCAATTTTGAAATGACTGTAAGAGTTTATAAGTAACAAACTTAAATACTAAGAAAATGACTAGAGTTGGTAATATTGATATTTTAAACAGCCGATGTATCCAAGTTTTAAAACTATAGTTACAACAAGCTTCCGGTGTAGGTAATTAAGAATTTCATTTAAAGTAAATTATTTACCTCAGGTTTTAGTAATGAGTTAACATAACGCATAATATAATAAATTATATTTATTAAGCTAACATATATGTAGGCGTTAAAAAATAGTGGAAGACAGATGCTTAAATGAAATTATATAAATGCACTTATGATTGCAGTTATTTTGTTCATTATTTTCATAGGGAGGTACTTATTTCGAAGTAGTAGGCGTTAAATAAATGGAACGGAAATAAATCACAAAAAATCGTACTCTAAATGCACAATAGAAAGTTAACTACTGAGAAAGTATTAACTACCGAGAAAGTGTCGCAAAATGTCCCCTGCATTAACCAACCAAAGACAATTTTTAGTTATTAATAATTTAGCAAATAAAAATTTTGGTTTTGCTTGCGGTTACAAATCAAATGCAGATCAAACAGTTAGTGTTTTAGATAATTCACACATTTACTTATATATGCGTTTCAACAGTATCAACATTTTCAAGCGAATTTTATAACAAACAGGTACACTAGTTTTGGAGTGATTGTTTTCAAATGTATACAATTTCATGTCGTTAGAATGAAATAAATAGAGCGGCACAATTTCCGCACAATTGCGCTATAGCTAGACATTTCCGATGAAATCGCCCCAATTCAAAGGGCATTTCTAGTGAAGTGTTTGAGACATTAATATTACAACACATTTGAAATGGACTTATTGTATCCATCAGCAGGACCTACGTTTTCAGACATTATTTCTTAATATAAATTGTCTACTAGGCTATATTCTAAAATAACAACTGACACTAACAAAAAAACGACAGAATAACGAGACTTGAATTTGTAAATAATTCAGTAATTAGAATAAGCCTGTGGCTTTCAAGTATTGCTCCTTCATTTCCATTCTGCTCGGGTTAATCTCATCGTTTCCCTGCCAAATTGCTCTAACCATTCCTACACTAAATAATAACGTAGAAACAAAAACATCGAATAACAAACACTTGTCGTGTAACGATACCAAAACATCAACTTTTAATACATCATCTAACGTCTAATAATGATATAAAACTATCTTTCCGAGACTGGGCATTTATGATGACTACGTCTAAGATTTTCAGATGCACTACTAGACTACAGAATTCTACGGATGGATTATAGTACTACAAATCATGTCTAAATGTTTATAAATATATCGATCATTGTCGTATCATGAGTATAATCAGAAAAGAACTGGACGATATTTTCTAGAAACAAAATTCTAGGGAATTTAATAGGTTTTTTCTGAGTAGGAAGACTACTGGGCTTGCAATTTTTAAACGACTACCAATACAAGATGTCTAATATTGTAATTCTGCGTTGGTGTATAGTTTACCCTTACGATACTTAAGGCCCTCGTATCACTCTTATTAGATAACATCGCTCAAAACTCGAGATCAAGATGTTAGTCACTCAACGTTCCAATAGCAGGAGTCAGAGACGTCCATGGGTTTCAATCACTTTTAAATGCTAGTGTAAAACCACTCTTCAACGAGTTAAACATAAAAATATATTCGCTATAATATGAATTACCATAGGTACATTTGTGGATATTAAGTATACATAGCGTTTACGGCTGAGTTAATATTTATACACGTTCTGAGTGCTTCGGTAAGTTTGCTGAAGAGATGCCGAGTGATCCTCCAAATTCCTCTTTAAGCTCTGAATTGTATTAAGTAAAACCTGATGTCTTAAATTCTCTGAACTTAGAACTTTTTCTTCAAATGCTCCATTTGGCACATGTTTGCTTAAATTAAAAGCGACCGTTTTACCTATAAATGATAACAGCTTATATAAGTCAATTCTCAATGATGAATTGCCTGAAAAAGAAAATTGGCCTGAAATACATTCGAAACAAAACCGTTAATTCCCAAGTCGGTGTATACTTAATATGTTCTGCTGATTTCTTTATCAAATTTATTATTTATAGTGGGATAATCCAGCTTTGAGAAACCAAACGGTGGATTTGCATTTCGTTAAATTCTGCAAAATTTACCATCGGCAGTTTCTTGTCAAGCTGAGCGCATGATTTTGGTCAATGTTGAATCTGGTGAGTTTTTCGGGATTTTACGCCGATATAAATTATTCTTCCTTTAAAATTTTTGTCAGAATTCCGTCCAAAAAAACTCACCAGTTTCAAGGAATAGTTGTGAAAGTCTGTCTCTATCAATAAAAGATATATTATACGAGTATATTAAACACTTTAGGAAAATAATCGTTCTATACATTGAGATATATCGAAAGTTTTAGCAGATACATTTAAGGGCTTCGAAATTTTGCTTCTCTTCTAATTTAATAATCATATATCGAGTAAGAGTATTAACGGACAATAATACAATTCTCTCATGGTTATCTCCTAATGGTTATTCTGCAACATAATTTCAACCGTTTGCAAGTTGTAGGCTCTTGAGGTTTACATTTCTTTATTTTTCAGATTTGATTTACATTCCTCTTGAGGATACATTTCTAATAGTCAGACATTTTTGGGACGTGAAATGAAAAGGGACATAGCAACTAATTTAATTTTTACTGCTTGTGAGATATAGGCTGTTCTAAACGTGGATTCGGAGATTTTTTCTTCTGCGTCTTCAAATGTTAGAAATTTTTGATCAAACCGTATAGCAAAATGGGCAGAACTTGAAATGGGCGATCAATCTGGTCCTTCCAGCGGATTTGATGTTTTCAACGTTTCGAAATTACCACGCTTTTAAGTTTCATACCCTTTGAACTTGTATTTTGTACCAATGCAGAATCAATAAAATGCTCGATTAAAATACTGACAGAGAATGTGATATTTCCAGCCGTTTTCAATGAAAATTAAGACAGGAAAGCATCTTCGATTTCAAGCCGATTGAACGGCTAAGCTTTTAACCAGCTTTGACCAACAGTTTTGAACAATTTAATGCAGTTTGGAACAGCAAAAAATATTCCAATTTGTTAAAAATGCAAAACAGGAACACCTTGTTCATGCCTTTCCTTGACAATTAGCAGATAAGCAGCAATGAAGTAAAATTTTCCTGAAAATCTCGAAACCAGAACAACATAATATAAACGATAAATGAAGATGACCAATCAATTGATCGATTTTCAGGTATTTGAGGAGAAATGAACCTTTTAGTTTTGCTAACACCTCTTCAATCGCATTGTCAACCAAAATGTTCACCTGGTACTGTAACATTGAAGAACATATTTTCAATTTCCGAAAAAAATCATTGAAGATGACACATTACTGCTTGAATATTTAGAGTAAAAATTTTCATTTTTTTACACCTGTAAATATTTTTTGAACATGACAAATAACGAAAGCAAATACGTACCATGACATTTAGTTATATTAATAGTGTTCCGACCAAAGTAAACTTTCCGTCGCATCGGCTCACTTTGGGGGCAACTTTTGGATAACTTTTTTTTATACTTTTGTAAGCTCTCATCTTCTGAGCTACTGCTCGCAATCGGACATTCGGTCTCCCTTCGATGCCTAAACGAATTTTGGTCAGTTATTAAATTAGCTAATTTTTGGGTCTTACCTAGGACTAGACAAGATTGAAGCTGGGTCATTTTTGTGTAAAATGCTTTTTACTTTATGGCTCTTTCTGGAACTAATGGGAAATCCAAAAGTAACCTCGTGGTGTTCTTTTGTGGGCTTTGATGGCACATTTACAGGTACAGTCGGATTATTTCCTAACATTTGACTGTGTTTATAGACATCTTCGCTCAATTGATTTGCCTCTTTCCGTATCACTAGAGGTGAGTAATGCCCATAATCTAAATAAATATTCATTATCGAGTCTGAAAATATTTGAAAGGAGAAATTACCTGTTAAGGTTCTTCGAACAGATATGGGGGATTGCGATTGCATTTCCTTTCGTACCAACACTGGCGAATTATTTATGATGAAGTTTGTAATATGGTTTTTCTTAGGACTAAATCGAGTATTTTTAAAAATTATCGTGGACGGAGAAATATTAGAACATGGTATTGAAGGCTCCTCGTTAGGTTTGCCCATAAAAAGCACTTCTGGTTTGGCACATTCCGTTGTTCTTAACAATTCTACTCTTTTATTTGTAGGCCCTGGAAGTCTTCTGGGTGAGAGACCATTGATATTCATTGTTCGAATTATTTGCTCAGCTTGGCCAATCAACTCTTGATATTTCATATCAGCTTCCCTATCTCGTTTTTCAATTAAAACATTTACGTCTCGTTGGAGGCAAACTGAGTTTGATCGCTTTTTTAACGAATCACTCTGACTCTTGGGCTGGTTTGATTCCGGATTGGACTTACGTATTGATATTGGTGTTGCTCCGGCACTTTTAGATCCGTCTTGATGAAAACTTGAATGCCTAGTTAAATTACCACATTTTACCAGTTAATAAAATAAAATAAATTGCAAAATGCATGGCTAGATGATCGAATTTACAACTATCTACTAGACACAAAGCCAGTGAAAGAGTAAGCTTTGTTGGACTTACCTGTTTTTTTCCAGCAATTGTTTACAATTCTTCTTACTTGAGGCCAATTTGCGTCGACGATCAGTCACTTCTTTACCCCTTCTTGTGGCTCGCCTTCTAGACGACCTCTTCCTTTGCATGTCAGGTGGAATGATATACATGCAATGTCCTGTATTGTCCGCCTTACTTTCTATTTCTACATAGGAACCTGATATTTCAATCCTTTAAGCCCGGAGTTCGAGTAAATATAAAAAAAATCAATGTTACCATTGTCAATAAAATCCAATTCTTCTTCACCATTATCTTCTTCATCGCCTCCATCTTGCCCTGTGTCGATGTCGCTTTCGCAATCTGTAGGGTCGCTATCACTCAGTATATCTGTTTCCTTTTCATAAATGTAACTTTCATCGTACTTGCCCATCATTTCATTTAATGTGCAGTCATCTTCATCACTTAGTGATTTGGGCACTCGATGTTCAAAAGAATGATTTGGACCTGCACTAATTGAAGAACATGAAGATGAAGACAGAGATCTTCTTTGCAAGGCAGGGCTCAAGTATCGGTATTGAATACTATTAAAAGTGCGTTATCGGTTATTTATGCAATGAGGTTGACGAAAGTGACTTACGGACTATTTCTACTTTTTCGGAAACCTATTGGAGTGCCTTTTACTTCTTGTCTGGCAGGAATGGGGCTGGCCACAGTACTAGCTGAACCACCTGGAAGCCAAGGATTTGTTCTAATTCTATTTCTTTGTCTTGGTGAAACTAAGCCAGATGGTTCGGGAAGTTTTCCAAAAAGTGTTGAGGATGCAGCCGCATTGCTACATGGTGCTTTTTCTTCTAAGCTTGGCCTATCCTACAAAGAGTTTTCGCTTTGAGTCGGGAATTTAAGAAGAAGTAAAACCCCTATAAATTACTAGAAATAGTAAGTTTATTTTGGCTAAAAGCGCTGTTTGAACAACTGTTCTGACGCATCAGTAAATCCAGATATAGATCTCTAACTGGAACTTTTATATTAAACAGAAATATTCCAGAAAATGAAAATGTGGTGAAAGTCAAATGGAAAGCATTAACTTACAATTAATTTCCCTTGTATCGACACTGATGATAATGCTGGTGCTTGATCGGCCGGGTTTTGATATATGACCTTTGATGAAGAAGGTGCCTGCTTATTTAACTCTGGATTCAGTCTAGTTTTCAAGGAACTTTCTGGAAACCATTCATATATTTTCAGTTTAGCTTCCCCTTGTTCACATTCTAGTTACTCCTTTGGTACCTGTCAATTTTTTATCAGTAATGGAATAGTTTGGTGGTGCTCCTCCTGGAGAAGTACCATCCGTACTGTAGCCAGTAGAATAGGCGGATTCTGGAGACGACAAATTGTTGGCCGAGTATCTGGATACTTGTGCTTCTACTCCATTATGTTTTTCTTTAGTTTTGTCGCTACTACTATTTTGTGGCTCCCTGTTTACATCCTGGAAATTTGCCAATAAGTTATTAACTAAGCTGACGAGAAACCGGAGAATCTTGCCTTTCGTTCACTATCTAGTAAGCAACTATTTTTCCAAGTTACAGTGTGCGTACTGGTACTAGTATTAGGTCGGTTATTTGTGGGTGGTGCATTCTTTCCTTGCTTCTCTTTTCGATGCTGTTTCTTTTTAGGCCGGACTGCCTCCATCCAGGCTCGTAACTTACTGCCGAACATCTTCGAAATGTTGCTAAACATAAATCGGTTGAAACCACTGAACAAAAAAACAACATGGAGGAAAAACGTCTAATTACATGTTATGAATTATTATTTTGCGATAAAAATATTAACAGATAGAGAGTGCAATTCCAATACGATAGGTTTACTTTCCTATGATAAGCCATGAACTTAAAATTGAGCAAAAATTAAAAAATGTTTGCTTTTTGTTACATAGTGCTTGTTTCAACTGCTAAGTGATAAATTTTTTCAATGTTTCTCAGCAAACGACACTATGAAATTTTAACAGCGTTTTAGATTTGATAGATTGATATTCGAGATTTTATGTGTTCCATTTTTTATATATAATAATATGTACGTAATTTTTATTTCAATAACGTATGCGGTGTGTTAGAGCCAAATTTTGTAATACATTCAATAAATAGTTGTAAACGCTGCTTATGTATATTTTTCATTAAATTTCTCTTGCTCATTCTCTACTTCAGTATTGGGTTCTTAGAATAGTGTCGTTTTTTTTAAATTGAGCGATAATAACAAGGGCCAAGAGCTTGTGTTCGGCAATTTAGTTCCCATTACGGCAGTGCTAGTATGGGTTGTATTACTTTTAAGCAAGTTTCGATTATAAATTAAAGAAAAATATTTTTGATTCATAAATAATTTAATTGCATCTCTAACAGGTGGAAATAAACCAATAAACCGATATTCCGAAAATCAATATACCCGAAAATTCTACGTTAAAATAAAGTAAAAAAAAACAGCTCTATTAAAATTCCAATCAATTAAATTATCAGAAAATCTTTATGCGTTATTTACCATGCCACAATAGCTTAATAATATTCTCAAGATTTTTTAATGTGGTATTTTCAGCCTTTACACAGTATATTAAGCTGTAAAAATCCTAAGTTTTATCAAAATCTTGCAAGAGACTCATTTAAGAGCTTGTGTCAGAAGCAAGTATTATGTCGCTCTTAATGAAGCCAGCAGGGGAAATCCTGGCATAGCCTGAATGATGATCTGCTCTTTAGGCCTTCATTGCAATACATAGCACGAAGTCAAAGTTTGATAAAAAAAAACAATGCGTACAAGGATTCAACAAGGAAGTTACGGTCTCAGTCGCTCTTAATGGTGCGAGGAAAGAGAATATTTCGTAGATAGTGGCATAGTTTGAATGTTGATCTGCTCTTTAGACCTCTGTTGCACAACAAGTCCAGCTGCACGAAATCAAACTTTCGTCAAAATTGAACAAAAGGCTAATTTGAGAGCGAGTATCAAAATTTCGTTTCTGATTAATTTGCTCTTAATGGTGCGATCAAAGATCAGCATTGGGAAATCGTGGCATGGTTTGAGTCTCAATGTGCCATGGGGGCACATATAACAAGACCAAACATCTAATGACTGAATGCTCGTTTCTGCTGTGGCTTCTTTTATAGTTAAATCACGCTGATGATAGTAGAAACGATACTACATCTTATTTTAAAGTAATAGTAGGCATAAGTGACCATATAATTATATCTACAACATTGTAAACAACAAAAAATATTAAATATAATTGCAGGGTAAAGCAATTGACATACGCAACAGCAAACGATTATATCAAGGTAGTTCTATAGCTCAGTTCGTTTAGAAAGTGTAAAAAACCTCCTTTTCCTTCAAAAGGTTCTTCAAAAAGCTGACTAAATATTCAGTTTCTTTCAAACAACGATAGAAGTAGGTCGTAGGTTCTTTTTGTATTATAGACGGGATATCGCGTTCATAGACGAGATATATGGAGTGATTTTGTGTCACTAAGACAAGTGCGGCAGCCGTACCATCTTGCCTACTAACTACTTAACTCAGTTTTCAATTTGGAGTCGATATTCATTGGGTGTGCAATGTGTGTCTTTTTGAGGATTAATGCAGAAGAAATAATGGATGAAGCACAAGCTTGCAGAAAGTTAGTAAGAAGGATTTCTATCCATAATCACCCCCTTGGACTGAGTTTAGTTTTTAGAAAACCAACTGTAGTTTAATGGCAGTCTCTATTTTTCTTCCTCGCCTTCGCTCATTTCAAATAAATAGGCTTTGGACTGAGTATATCTTATACTAAAGAATCTATTTCATTTCTTTCCAGGTGGCACAATGCAGCTTTGGTTAAGTTAAAACATTAGTTTGCCCCTGGTTTCCCTGTAGATCGCTTTTAGTCTCACATAGGTTTGTAATTTATAATATTTTTGCATGTAATATTTATTCGACGAGGAACGACCAGGATGTTGATAGATTATGGATTGTATTTTTAAACTTTCTAAACTTTATTTCTGCAAAATTAGTTTTGCCATCGGAAGTCAGATGTTATCCGTTAACAAATGCGGTTTTGTACAATATACTGTTTGCATATCAGTGCAATATATTTGTCTTACAATATTCATGTAAAATTAGTGCCTTTCTGCTGTGAACTACACTTTTAATTGTCGCGTGAGGTAATTTGTGTCATTTATTCATATTAATACATATAAAGTAACATGATACATGATAACGTGTTGCAATATTGGGCGAACTGAAAATAACGTTAACCATGATATCATTACATTATCATATTATTATTATATTACTTAAAACAAAATAATCATCATAATAATTGATGGTTTCCTCAAAAGTTTTATGGCTTATTTTTATTTCTATTTTCTCCGATCTTTGGACGTCCGAATCTACTTGAGGGCATCTAAAAATTAGATAGACGTTCGACGAACGAATTTCCTTTATATACTGATTATAAAATGCTAGTAAAGTTCATCCCAAATTGTCTGGAACAAAAGTAATTTGAGAAACGCAAAAAATAATAAAGGAAAAATCATTAAAAAATAATTTAAAATTTTTTTTAGTCTGTTGTATTAAAGTTAGTTGTATTACTTATTATTAAAAATTGTAGTATAAAGTTTGTACATAAAAAATCTTCAGTAGACATCGTTTAATATTCTGCAGAAAGCACGGAACAACATTAACTTGATGTCACTTTTGATTGAAGACCCGTGTTTTCTCAACGCTTTGCGCGATATATTAAGGTATCCGCTAGTGTTTTTTCAAGGGAGTTTTCGACTTTAATTTGATTTAATTTAATTTTTAACTTTTTGCACAATAAGTGAAATTTCTGTCCTAACCGCAAGCAAGTAGTAGAACTGAAATGAAATACATTATAATTAATGCAAAACAACCTCGTGTTAGAACAAGGGACGCTTTTCTAAATTATGTTTTTTTGTAATGAATTTTTGAAATATTAATTGTTGTCTTCTTTAGTACACAGTTCTAAAGGAACTGAATAGTTTAAAATGTAGTCGAAATTCGCACAAAATTTTCAGGAAAATGCAACATTTCCCCGTGTTAGAACAAAGTTATTTCTTCTTAATAATGTTAAAATCAATGGTCTATCTAAACAAGTTTTTTTAATTAATTTTTAAATATTGAATGTTGTTTTTTCTAGTGCACAGTTCCATTCATAGTTTAAAATTCGCACACAATTTTCACGAAAATGCAGCATTTCCTCGGGTCAAAAAAAGTTCTCTCTTCTAGATGCTACTAAAATTGACGATTCATCTCTGCACGTTTTTTGTGTAATGAATTTGAATACATAGATTGTTGTATTCTTTAGTAGGTACACAGAATTCGATCTATCGTTTGAAATGTAGTTCAAATCAAATTTTCCCGGAAATGGAACTTTTTCAGTATTATAGCAATGTTATCTCATCCAAATAGTACCAAAGTTTTTTTGTAATGTATTTTTCAAACATTGATGGGCTCTTGTCCATAGTAGTGTTTCATCCGAAGTTTGAAATATAGTTAAATATCGCACACATTTTTTCCGGAAATGCAACTTTTTCCAGTGTTAGAGCAGTATTTTCGATTCCAAATAGTGCTCAAATTAACACTCTATATTCATTTTTGGAAGCAACCGTTTCAGTCTAAAACACAGTCCATGTGTCACAGCCGATATAACTAAGACAATTTTACACTAAGAATGTGATAAAAAAGCGTAAAGTGAACGAAAGGTCTAAAAAATATTTAGGGCCTGATAAAGAGGCTCTATACCAGGGTTTCCCAAACCTTTTCGATAATGAAACACTTTGCAAATCCAGAAATTTTAACGGGGTACGCGATTTTTTTAAGTTGATTTGTAGTGAACTGTATTTTAACACTTAAAAGAAAGGTCACCACATTTTAACGCCTAAAAAAAGATTAAGTAATGGACATGTTAAGCAAATGTTAAATACTGGTTCAGGTTCAGCCGAACACAGTTCCGGAAACTCTCTGCCCTATACTATTAAAAAGTGTACAACCAGGTCAATGTAGTTATTTCAACTTCTTTCATGTATTTTTTTTTGTAAAAGGATCAGATTTTAGTATTCGAAACCTTTATGGAATCGATCGAGCCAACCAGGCTTACCTAATAATTTTCAAATTAATTTAGCTTAAGCAATTGGATTAAATGGGACGGCGCCAAAATTGTATCTGTATTTATAGCGCCGCTGAGCAATTTTGGTTTCTTATACGAATTCGTGACCCTGGTCAGGAGGTTTTATAGACAAATTATTTTTACCAAACGATTTGTACTAGGAAACTTTATAGCGACCAGGATGGATCCGACCATTCCATTTTATTTTTCGTCCGGCACCCTTAAAGTTGTAAGTGGTCCAGTTCAACATTCTAATCCAACCTGCTGCTCTTCGTCAAAGTTGTTTTAAAAGAGTTTTTTGAAGAAAACTCGGGGTTATTAGCAAATTTGAGCGATCTGCATCCGGACGGCAATTTATTTTGTAGTAGTAGATAGCGAGCAGGGTTGTTTTTCCTATTTTGCAGCACTTATGCTGAAGTTATGTTGCCGTTCTTGCTAAATTTATATTGTGGTTTTGGTAAGCTGTTATTGTGGTTTAGGCTGATTTTATAAGCGGCTTCTTGGAAATGATAGCGTCCTCTCTTACGAATGCCAGAAACATTTAAAAAATAATACTGATAAATAAATTTACTACTTACAAGTTTTCTTCCTGCAGATTTCAACTATTTATTTTGTATTATATCATTTAGGCACCTATTTCTTGTGCTAATTAACATTCAACTATTAAACTTTGAACTCTTTACATTTTCTCTTTTTGCTAATAAGAGTTTTTCCTTGCAGCTTTAAACGGGTCATAGTTCAAGATGTAAATTATTTATTTTACTACTGTTCGTTTATTCAGGTACAAAATCGATACGTTAGGGTAACTTTTATTTCGCTCATTACAGCTTTTTCACAGCTTTGAACCCTGAACTCTAGATCTCCACTAGTTAATATTTTCGTTTTGCATATTAAATCATTTTTAATATATGTGTACCCAAACAGCACAAATACATCTTAAAGACGTCTTGCAAATGTCTTGTGCTGTCTGGGATAGTATAGGACATACAATAAAAGGTATGTGGGATTTGAAAACAATCGGCAAATAAAAGTTAATGAAAATTATTTTTACAATCTATATTCAAGGCGCTTTAAATTTAATTTTGGAAATACAGTATCATAACTGACGCAGCAGGCGCTAAACTATTAAAGCAATTGGCAACATAAAAATTCACCCATAGGAAAAACTTATATTATTTTTTTACTAAGGAAAATATCTTAGAGCCCTTGAAGAGTGGTCCATGTACGGAACTACGATTCTGTCACATGAGCTTCATGCCATATTTCGTAGCTTCAGCTCCTCAGGAAATACGAGGAACTACTTTCATACATAGACATTTTAAGAAAAAAAGTTTACCTAATGTTTTACAAAGACAATTCTTTCATAGAAAGTAAGGTGAAATTAATGTTAACCACTTTCACAAGAAAGTGAGATACAATTGTTATAAACCCGGCGCCTACGGGTTCCTAGCCCACATCTCTCCAATGCCGCCGCCGAGGTGTTAGTGGCTTTTATCAATACTCTTTAAAGCCCTTCCAGGTACCGCAATTGTATCTAGTAAATCTTTTAGTTTCATTAAGCTGTTGATAAATTAGCTTTCAGCTGAATTGAAAACACGCCACTTATGGCGTTTTTAATTCAGAATTATTAGAATAATTTTATTCCAGGACCTACCTAATTTCGGACAAGAACCTACCTATTTAAGCTTTCAAGAAGCTCTTCAAGATTCACGGAGATTTAATCTTCGTGGCTTATAAATTATTAAATATGTATATAGTACAGTTCATTTTGCATGGAATATTAAACCAAAAAATTAATTTCACATTACAGTATATTGTAAAAAATGCAACAAGACACTAATACTAGTCAATCCAAAATCAACAACATGCAAGAAAAATAAATCTAAGCGCCGAGAATCACATACAATATTTGCTCTAGTTTCCAATTAATTTCCAGAATTCCTGAATGCCGATGTTTATGAATACTTACTTTACAAGCAGGAATGATTACATTTTCGGGCATTGCAACGACAACCACTCCTCACTGTGCGTTTTGATGAAATATACTGCAAATTTTGATGCATAATAGGTAATATCAGTCAATGTTAAGGTCCGATTTTGGAAAATATTTCGCGAACGCTTCATTTATTGGCATAAAAAAACATCAAGGCATGGCGTCAATGATGCATCGCGTCATTTACTATGCGTCGGCGTCGGCGTCGGGATGCCGATATCAGAGGCGTTCGTATTCCAGCTTCCTCTAAATAATGATTTATACATACGGTACAGGGTGGTCGAAATCATATACACTACCAGTTAAGTTCTGGCGATGAAATTATACAGGGTCTCCCGTAAGCACATGATCAAAAGGATACTGCGATATTCGTTGCATGAAAATAAGACGATTTGACCTGACTTT